CCCCCGCCCAGGGACAAACCCACCAGGGTGGGGGATAAACCCAGGAGTAAACCCACTGGGAATAAATCCCTTGGGAATGAAGGGTAATGAAGCCCCCAAGGGACAAACCCTCCAGGATGGGGGATAAACCCTCTCTCCAGGAATAAATCCCTTAGGAATGAAGGGTAATGAAGGCCCCAAGGGACAAAGCCATCAGATTCCAGGGATTATCCTCCCAGGGACAACGCTCCCAGGGACAAATTCCTTCCAGGGACCCCTCCTCACCATGTCAGCCAGGTTGACCACGGACTTGGCGAAGTTGCTGGTGAGAACTACGGACTTGCGGAGCTGCAGGAACTGGGGGCACACCAGGGCCAGGTGGGATTGGGGGGGGCCAGACCGACCCCTCACCGCCCCCGCCAGTCCCGGGAGCCCCCCGCTCACCAGCTGATGGTCGTTCACCACGGCCAGCTCGATGTACTTGGTCTCGCTGTGCACCGTGTGCTGGGCTCGGCGGACCTGCAGGGGGAACCCGCGGCTGGGCTGGCACCGGCTCCCGGACGGGCTCCCGGGCACTCCAGGGATGTTTGGGATGCAGGGAGCGGGCAGAGCCACTGGGTGGTTGGCATGCAGCCCCACCAGTGTTCCAGTGGGTCGCCTGGACACCCCTGAGCCCAGGCAGGAACAGGACTCTGCAAACACCCATGGACGAGCCTGGCTGCACCCGCAGCCCACGGGCAGAGATCAACCAGGGTCCAGCACACTTGTTCCCTGCCCGTGTCCTCTGTCCCCTGCGTACCCCGCTGTTCTCACTGACCTGCCGCCGCCGCCGCAGCTTTGGAATCCCACCCGGGACACGCTGGCTCAGCGCAGGGAAGAGGCAGCCTGCAGGGAAGGGACAGAGCTGGTGTGACACCAGGACACAGGGCCACCGAGGTGACCGCCGCAAATCCCCGAGAACAGCTTTGTGAGAAGGCTCACCCAGTCGGGGGCAGCTGGGGATGCGCTGCACGATGTGTGGTCGAAGACCCTGCCACGGGGAGAGGTTTGTCAAGGCCATGCGTGGGAGGGAACGACTGCCACGTCCCCGTGTCCCCATGGCTGCCCCCAAGCCACAGCCAGACCCCTAAAGCAGCCTTGGGGTACTCGGGCAGGCACCTGGCAGTGCCACCGCTCACCTGCCCGCGCTCGGCGCCCGCCTGGGGCTCGATCAGGTACGTGGCTCGGCCGTCCGAGAAGACCCCGCTGCAAACAGAGGCGGGCGTGTCGGGGTGCAGAGGGGTGCAGCCCCCCGGCCCCCCTGCGGGCACTGGGGATACTCACCGCAGGCCCTGGCAGCTGGAGAGAGCGGCGAAGGAGCGGGGCTGCCCCCGGACCCGGCCCTGGTAGTAGCAGTGCTCCCCCGCGCCCTGCGGAGGGGACGGGCGCTGAGCCTCGGGTGCTGCCCTGCCCCGCACCCCCAGGGCCGCACCAGGCTCAGGGCTCCGGGGTTCACTGCCAGGCACCCCCAGGGTGTGCGTGGTGCCCACAGCACACGGGATCCCCCGCTCGAGGAGATCCCAGCACCATGGCAGCAGCACCCCGTCGGGGTGGGGCTGGGCACCCAGGGGCACCCAGGGGCGGGTGGGGGGGATCATGAGTGCTGGGGACCATTCCTGGGCTTTTCTGGGGTTTATGAACTGGCCACCACAACCCTTGCACTGGCACAGCACGTTTTGACACAGCACGGCGCAGTTTGGCACAGTATGGCACAGCGTGCTTTGGCACAGCATGGTTTGGCACAGCGTGGCACACATCTTACCGTGCTGTGGCTGCCGTTGCTGCCCGCGCCGACGTGCCGCTCCACGTAGTGGGAGGCGAGGAGGTGGCTGCCGGGAGCAGGTGGGGGGTAAGAGGCCGTGGGGTGGGGAGGAAGAGGAGGAAGAGGGAGACGACAGCAGCGATCCACGTGCAGAGCACCACCCCGGTGTGGGAGACCACCCACCATCCATATACAAGGTACCACCCCAGCACGGGACCCCCCAGTTTGGGAGGGCGCTGGCATCCCATGGGTCCCTGTCCCCTCTGCTCCATCCCCGGCTGAGCTCGCACTGCTGGGGTGCTCAGCACAGCTCCCCCATCCCCGGGCACCCCCAGCTCCTCCCCTCCGCCCAGGGGGCAGCAGCAGCCCCGTGCTGGCTCCCTGCCCGGACCCCCGGGTCACTCACTGGTTCAGCCGGAGATCGAGGGTGAAGGCTGAGCCGAAGGCACGCACCATGAAGCTCACCTGTGCCAGGTGCAGCCCCTGCAGGGGGCAGAGCCAGAGCAGTCAGCACCACAAATATTCATAACTGAAATAATCATTAAAACCCCAACCCAAATACGCAGCCTGTGAAGATGCACTTTTTTTTTTTTTTTTTTTGGTTTTTTTTTTGGTTTTTTTTTGGTTTTTTTTTTTCCTTAAACCCATCTCCCCTGGAGCACTGGGATGGCACCTGCGTCCCACCGCCCCCTCCGCGGCTGCCGTGCTGGGGTGGGGGTGCCGGAGGGTCCCCCCGGCGCTGGGCCCAGCCCGGCCGCGGCAGCCGAGCCGCCGCTCCTCCCGCCCTGCGGCGCCGCCGCTCCTGACCTAATTCCTGATTCCCAATTCCTGCCGCCGGCAGCGGGAGCCGAGCGCTGCGGCGCGGCCTCAGACCCGGCAAACTCGGCGCACCGGTGAGAGCCCGGCACCGGCTGCGGCTCCCTCCGGTGCTTCGCACGGGGAAACGGCAGAAAAGCCAAAGCCATCCTGGCGTGCCCGTCCCCTTGCTGGGAACCCGGCGCAGCTCGGGACGAGGACACAGGGATGAGGAGCCGTCTGTCATCACAGGGAAGGGGTGTCCCGGGCCCTGACAGCATCCCTGGGGTCCGGCAGCACTGCCGGAGAGGGCTCTGCCTCCGGGAGCCAGCCCCGAATTCCCGCGGATCTCCGCTGCCCCCTCCCGCCGCGATACCCCGGTTTAACACCTCCCTGGCCCCCCGCCAGCGCGGCGGCTGCCGGCGCTTCCCGGCGTCCGGCGGTTTCACTCGAAGCCGGGTGTAAATCACCTCTGCGGCGAGAGCAGCTCCTCATCTCGCCTTTATCCGGCGCGCACGGGGATCGATAGGCGCCGGCCTCCGCGGCTGCCAACACCGCAACTCCCCCGTGCCGGATGGGGCGCGTTGCTGCTCCCCGACCCGCAGGGACAGGCAGCGATGGGCGGGGGGCACTGCCCGAGCCTGGGCTGGGCTGGGGAGCGGCACTGTGGGGCCTGGGGGCCGCTCCCACGCGGCCTGAGCCCTTCCTTGCCGGACCCACGATTCTGTTCCTGTGCTCGCCACCTGCCCGCTCCCGCTCCATCCCTCCCAACACCCGCGCGCTGCCGGTTCCCAGATTTAATGGGATTTTGCGGCACAAGTCGGTGTCCCTCCGGGGAGCACGGCAGCGGGATGGTCCCTGGGGGCACGAGGGCTCCGGTTCGGGATGCCGGTACCCGCGAACACGCTGGGGTGTGGCTGGGCCAGCGACGCCGGCTGCCTGGGGACCTGGAGCTGCCACCTGCCAGGGACCCCGGAAAGGGAACGGGTTGGGGGCTGTCGTTCACTTACGGGTCCTCCTCCTCCTCCTCCTCCGGGCTCATGCCTGACCCTGGTATCCAGCTGATGCTTTAGGACTTCTCCGCCCGAGCTCTGCCCCACCAGCCTGCTGGGGTGGGTGATTTGGGAGAGCACCCGCCCTTCCTGCCATGCGGCCCGTGGGAGCCTCCGCGGCAGCGCTCCGGCCTGCGTGGCAGGACCTGCGGGAGAGGGGACAGGGTCGCGGCCACCCTGGGAGGGCTGGGAGGACGGGGACCTGGGGTTGGAGAAGGGACAAAGACACAGGGGCCTGGGGACAAGGAGATGTGGAGGGCTGAGGATGAGGAGGGACAGGAAGATGGGAACACGCAGAGGTGGGAACAGGAGGGGACAGAGTTGGTGAGTGTGCTCAGGGGGTGGCCCAAGAAGAGGACACTCATGTCCTGGATGGGATGCCCAGGGAACCTGGAGGGTGGGTACAGGGATTGTCCCAGGGTGCACAGCTGGGGAACATCCAGATACCCCGGTGTGCCCAGGAGGGGACAGCCAGCAAGCACGGGCTGGGAGGGGTGCCCAGGGGTGCCCAGGAGGGGAACACAGACACAGGGGTGGGGAAGCTGAGGAGGTATCAGATACAGCGGCATGTCCTGGAGGGGACACACAGGGGACATGGGTGGCTGATAAAGTGATGCATCCCAGAAGGGGGCATGCAGGAGAGCGGGGGCTCAGAAATGCCAGCACACCTGGAGGAAAGGTTGGGGTGGGGTCAGCATATCCTGGAGGGAGCATGCAGGGAAAAGGGGGGGCTGGAATGGGGACACACCTCAAAGGGGACACCCAGGGGACAGAGAGGGCCGGGATGGGCCCACTGAATGGGAGATGGAAGACTGACATGGGGACACCCCCCTAGAGGGGACAACGAGGGGACAGCAGGAATGGTGCAGGGACACCTTTGGAGGTGACAGCCAGGGGACACGGTGCGTGGCCGCTATGGGGACACATCCCAAGGGGACGTGGATGGCTGCTATGAGGACATCTATGGGGCATGCAGGGAACGGGGGATGCGAGAAGAGGACACATTCTGGAGGGGACGCAGGGGATCCTATGCGGCCACCTCCGGAGAGGGAGCACGGCGGGGGCCGCTGCGGGGACAGCGCTGTGGAGGGCGCGGGGCCGCCGCAGGTGCGGGGCCGGGGCCGGGGGGGACGCGGGGCTGCCGGTGCGGAGCCGGGGCTGCGGGGCCGGGGCCGGGCAGGTGCGGGGGGATCGCGGGCCCGGCCCCTCCCGGGGCTCTGCGGGGCGGCGCTGCGGAAAAATGTGTCGATGCAGCGAAAAAGCCGCAGCGGCGGCGGCGGGGCCGGGAGCGGAGCGGGGCGATGCGGGGCCGGGAGCGCGGCGGGCGCGATGCGCGGGCGGTACCGGGAGCCGGTACCGGTACCGGGGCGATGCCGGAGCGGGAGCGGGTCCGGACCTACCTGCCCGCGGGGCGAGCGAGAGCAGCGCGGCCAGCAGCCACCCCCGCAGCGGGCTCATGGCTCCCTCATGCTCCGCCAGCGGCCGCGCCGGGCCCGCCGCGCCGGGCCCGCCCGGCCCCGCCGCCCCCGGTACCGGCCCCTTCCACCCTCCCCGCCCCGGCTGCCGCAGCGCCGCTGGCACCCGCGGTACTGCAGCACCGGAGTCCCGCTGGCATCACCCCCGGGCCGGCAGCACCCCCGGCCGGTACCGGAGCTGCCGGTGCCATCACCCCCCGGAATGGTACCGGAGCCCCGGGCCGGTGCTGGGCACCCCGCGCCAGCAGGGACCGGAGTGGAGCCCCCAGTGCCAGACCCCTCCCAGCCAGATCAGACAGTGTCCCCCCACAGCCACCGGGACAGGGACACCAGGATGAGAACACCACAGTCAATACTGGAACCTCAGGACAGAATCAATCCCCCCTCAGCCACTGCTGCCCCCCTCCCAGCCAGTGCAGCACCCCCACACCAGTACCAGCCCCTCCAGCCAGTCCTAAACCCCACAACACCAGTACCAGGCTCCCCAGCGAGTACAGCGCCTCCAGCTGGGATTGGAGGCCCCCAGCCTGCACCGTGCCCCCCTCAGCTGGTGCCGAGGCACTGACTTGTCCCCAGCCAGTCCCAGAGGCCCTGCAGATTGTCCTGGTGCTGCCAACCAGTACCAGGACCCACACCATTATCAGAGCTCCCCAGCTGGGACTGAAGCTCAGGAGGAGCCTCTGAAGCTTTGTGTGTCCTAAGTCCCTGCTCCCACTACAGAATCCCACTTCAAGCCTTCCCTTTGAGACTGGAGTGAAGGAGGGAGTGTTGTCCTTCACTCAAGGAATGAACATCTCCAAGGACAGACAGACCCCACTCCTCTGGGTGCCTGGCCCAGGGCTGTCCCACTCTCCTGGGTCCTCAGCCTTTCCTTTTCCCAACCTGCAGCTTGACATCTGGCACCACAGAAGGGCTGGCTCCATTCTGCTTGGAACTGCCCTTCAAGAAGCCAGAGGTTGCTTTTAGACACTCCAGAACATCATGTTGGCTGTCTCAGTCTGTCCCTGACCTCCCTCCCTCAGCCCCATGCCCAGGAGAGGTGAACAGGCTCCTAGCAGCTGCTCTCCAGGTTCTCCACACCCCTCCTTGCTGGGCACCACCCCTGCACTGGGTACAACAGCTTCCCAGTGCCTGCTGGCCACACTCCTCTGGCAAACCACAGAGGGGGTGATGTTCTGGGGCTGGACAAACTGCTGTGCCCATTGCCCAGAGACCCCTTCCAACAAAGCTTCCTCCACCCAACCCCTACTGCTCTGCTCCTGCCCCTAGTCACATTCCACACACAGTAAGGCAGAACAGAATCTCATCCCTCCGTTTTATTTCAAAGTTTAAAAGTTTGTAAAAAAATCTGAAACAAGTTAAAAGCACCTGAAAATACTCAAAGACAACCCCCAGACCACATGAGGAGCACAAATTTCATCACCATGACCCTCCTTTCCTAAGTCTTTGCAGCGCTGGGACCATGTGAGAGGAGGAACAGCTCTTCCTCTGGAAGGGCAAAGAGCACATTGCTGTTGGATAGAGAGTCCAGAGGCACCACTGTGTCAGTGGAGAGTCCTGTTAGGAATTAGAGGAAGCTGCTGGCTCTAAACATGGCCAGGAGAAAGGAGGGAAGATCACAGCCAAGGACAGGGAAGCCACTGCATCCCCATCAATTCCCACCAGGAGAGCTGCCCAGGCTGCCAGTGCTGTTCTCACCCTTGGATGTGCCTCCTGCTCCTGGCATGGAGGGTGCCTTGGTAAACCCCATCCCAGACCCTCCTCAGCTGCCACCGAGGGGCCAGAGAGCAGCCTGCAGGTGATTTTAGCTGCCAAACAATGTCCCAAGTATGGGGAAAGAGGTTCCTCTGGTCTCTGTGCAGCAGTTCCTGCAGCTCTTGTCCTCTCGGCCTGCCCAGGCCAGCTCCGGCCCCTTCAGCACGGAGCAGAGCTGAGACTTGTACCCGCTGTCCCTCACCCTGACGTGTGGCTGCTGCAGCAAGTCCCTGTCCACAGCTGGAATCCTGCAGCCCTGGACACCTGAGAGGCTGGGGAGCAGCTGCACATCCCAGTCTGACTTGGAGGAGCTCCTGCTGAAACCGGGAGCAGCCTCTGGGCTCCGGGGAGCAGGCGGGGGGAGGCCGGGGCTCTGCGCCCGCTCCGTGCCCTGCCTGGGCACGTCGGGAGCTCCAGGGGCTGCTTCTTCTGCTGCCCTGACACGGAGTGAGCAGCAACATCTGCCCGCAGCCACAGGCAGTGTGGGAGAGGGCAGGCAGCCAGCAGGGCAGCTGGTCCTGCTCGCTGTGCTCTCCAGAGCAGGCCTGTTCCCATTCCTGGGTGTGTTGTCACCGTCCCCTCTGCGCTGTTTCCCTTGGGATCTGTCCCTGCTCCAGCCACGCTCGCTGACAGTGCTGGCTGCAGCTGCCTCCCCAGCATCCAAACCTGCAGCCACGGCTCCCGGGGATCCCGGCTGGGATACAGGGTCCCCAGGGCTCTCACACAGGCACAGATCCAAAGCAAGGGAGCTGTGAGGTCTGCTGGAGAGCTCTGTGCCCAGGGGCAGGCTGCCAGCCCCCACCACAGCGGGCAGGGCTGGCTCAGACACCTGCCCTGCACCCTGTGCCCCCATCCCACCACCCACCGGCTCCATCTGCTCACCCAGAGGGGAGAGGCCAAAACCCAGCTCCAGCCTGGGCCTCTTTCCCACCTGGGAGCTCTGTCTGGAGCACAGCTGGCGTTTCCTGGAGGCAGGCTGTGCTTGGGGAGGGTGGCTGACAGACCCAGGCTGTGTATGAGGTTCAGATGAAGAAGGCATTGCCTCTCTGACAGGAGTGGGTGCTGCACGAGGCCCCCAGCCCAGCTCAGGAGCCAAGCCTAAACCTGAAGCCCCCAGCCCAGCCCCCGCCATGGTACCATGGGCAGCACAGACCCCTCTGCTGAGCCCTGCTCCCCTTGGCAGTCGCAGGGAGCTGTGCTTTGACAAGTCCCCTCCTCCTCTGGGATCCCTGACCCTGTCCTTGGGCAGGCAGGGGGAACGTCCCTGGGTTTTCAGGCCATGATCCAGCTCTGTATCCGTTACCAGTTCCACGGCACCCTGCTCAGGCTGCTCCCTTTCCTTTCCCAGCTCTGATGGCAGCAGCTTCATTCCTCCAGTGCTGTGTGCTTGAGGCACTACACGTTCATCTGCCAGGCAGGACCAGGGCACCCTGGGAGGAACCATCAGTTAATGCTCACCCAGCCCCATCAACACTCCCCCCAGGGAGACAAGGCCTCTCCTGCAGTGCAGGGTGTTTGCAGCCCTTGCTCAGGAGCAGGGAAGCAGTTTTAGCCTGGTGAGACTCAGAATGACTCTGCTACTGGCAGAGATGGGCAGCACAAGGGATCTCAGCCTCCTCAGCCCAGTGCCCAGGCACAGGGGGGCTACAGAGCAGCAGACATAGGGACAGAAGAGGTAGGCTCAGCTGCCCTTTCTAGTTTAGGAGGCACTAGGAGTCCACAGGGACTGAAGGAGAAACCCCATGGAAATGCAGGAACATCCCCCATGGTTTGTCTAAGCTTTGCCCAGCAGGTGCCAAGTTGGTCCAGCTTCAGCCTCTGATCCCCAGGCACAGGGACCCCATTCCATGGATGTGCCATGCAGCTTTGGGCTCCAGGAGTTCCCAGATCCCCAGACTTACTTGGCTGACCACTCCACGAAGCTGTTGGTGAGCTGGGAGATGACACGATCCACAGGGATGTACTGGGAGCTGTCCCTGGCAAACTTCTGGTGCTGGGGGCTCTGGAGATGCTGGAAGGTGGCAGAGGCCCTTTAACAACACTTAAAGCTTTGCCAGGAGGGGAATTTGCAGTAACAGGCACTTCCCACAGCCTAACAGACCAGAGGGCAAAGGGAGAATGACTCTGCTACTGGCAGAGATGGGCAGCACAAGGGATCTCAGCCTCCTCAGCCCAGTGCCCAGGCACAGGGGGGCTACAGAGCAGCAGGGTTTGAGTCAGACATAGGGACAGAAGAGGTAGGCTCAGCTGCCCTTTCTAGTTTAGGAGGCACTAGGAGTCCACAGGGACTGAAGGAGAAACCCCATGGAAATGCAGGAACATCCCCCATGGTTTGTCTAAGCTTTGCCCAGCAGGTGCCAAGTTGGTCCAGCTTCAGCCTCTGATCCCCAGGCACAGGGACCCCATTCCATGGATGTGCCATGCAGCTTTGGGCTCCAGGAGTTCCCAGATCCCCAGACTTACTTGGCTGACCACTCCACGAAGCTGTTGGTGAGCTGGGAGATGACACGATCCACAGGGATGTACTGGGAGCTGTCCCTGGCAAACTTCTGGTGCTGGGGGCTCTGGAGATGCTGGAAGGTGGCAGAGGCCCTTTAACAACACTTAAAGCTTTGCCAGGAGGGGAATTTGCAGTAACAGGCACTTCCCACAGCCTAACAGACCAGAGGGCAAAGGGAGCTGATTTTAGCTGCCAAACAATGTCCCAAGTATGGGGAAAGAGGTTCCTCTGGTCTCTGTGCAGCAGTTCCTGCAGCTCTTGTCCTCTCGGCCTGCCCAGGCCAGCTCTGACCCTTTCAGACAAAGCCAATGTCTGCCAGGTTTGGGAACACACAGTGTCCTGTTCCCTGCTCCTGCAGATGAGGAGGCTGTGTCTGGATGCAAGAGCAGCCTACAGCCTCCCCAGCAGCAGGAAAGAGACTCCACCACCACTGTCTGGCACTAACAGCTGGGCTCTGAAAGCCCCCTTGCTTAGCACTTTCCAGGAGACAAAAAACATCCTCCCACCTTTTCAATCTGCCTGTGCCCCATGGCTGCCATGGAACAGCCTCTTCACCTTATGGATCATGCAACAGGACGATCCTTGAGGCTCTTGCACCCCAAGAGAGGAGCATGTTGTCCCCCAACCTTCAAACCCCCTGTGCTCTGACCTGCTGGTCTGGGCACACAGATATACCACGTTCCCATCTCACAGGCAGATCCTGCTGGATGCAGCAATTCCTCCCAAAGGAGCTCATAGTGCTAACGAGCACGACACGATTAACAAAGCCTCTGAGAGCCCCCCA